TCCTAATTCCTATCATCTTTGTACGTGATACGAGAATTACTTAGACCTGCCTTTATTTCTATGAGAATTGAGGATCATAGATCAATTACCATCTCTCACATATCTGATATATATCTACTCATTGTATAGATTATAGATCACTTGTATCCTAGTTTCCTTGCTGTCTCTGCTCAGGATTGCCCTTGGTTGATAGTACATTCTTGTATGACAATCGTTCACTTGGGTAAATCTTATGTATTTTTATAATTTATTCTTCTAACTAATTAAATTAGAGAGTACCCATCAAATACTGTCCTATTCGACTTTAAAGCTGAACTAATATCTAATCCTGGCCATGGAAAGGAACCCCGAATAACAAATATATATAGTATCTGAATTTTAATGCAAATTAAAAAATCAGTGCAAAAAGAAAAAGAAGAGATTGTTGTAGAAAGAAAAGGAGAAAAAAAATTGTGCACAAAGAACCATTGTATATGGTCAATTAATTATTAACATTAACACACCTTAATAAAACTATGTGTATTTAAACTACTCTTATCTTTTTGGGAATTAAATGATAAACTAGTGATTGTTAGGGTGTTCCTGGTAATAGAACAGGTTTCGATTCCGATTAAGGGATTTGTAAGGGGGGTTTTACCCATATTTAATAAGGATTTATTGGGTGGATTTCTTTTTTAATTTTTTTTTTAAAAACTACTCTTATCTTTTTAGAATATTCACTTAACTGAAAGGATCGGTTACAAACCCACCAAACTAATTATTAATCGACACATATATACGTGCATATAATTCAATTTAAAAAAAAAACAAAAGACAATTAGGGTGTGTTGATCATTACCAAAAATATTCTTTTTATGCCCTAATCATTTGATGGGGTTAAGATCTTGACTAGAAAGATTCCTTCTTCTTTTTCAAAATGTGGGGTAATCGGAAATCTCTTAATCAATAACCTTTGTAACGTATTGTATTCATATTGCATGATCTCACGTTGCATTTGGGATGAAACTAAGGATAGGAAAACATTTGAAAATAATATTATGCATAACTAAAGAAAACCAACAGCCGTCAAGAAAGAATGACCCATTTATGAATATTTAAAGCCGTAATTGATTACAATAATCTCGTTAAGATGACGCCAATAATGTATTTTGCTTGGCATCAATTACATACGGCGCAATTGATGCAAGTATCCGTTTCTACCAATACTCTTAATGAAACCGAAGATTTCTTCGTATTTTTTTTTTTTTAACCTAGGACCTTACTAGAGATGGGTAAACTCACGCCCACTGCAATACTCTGCAAACTACGGTGGGAGGTAAACCACCTTAAACAAGTTCGGGGTGACAAACTTAGGTGCGAAATCGAGAGTTCATTAGTGGGTTAACCATAACAAGTCCCAAGAGATGTCAATAGGCAAGATAAGAATCAGCTTTTCTTTTTTTATTGGAGTAGGGGATTAAACTCATGATATCCTCTTCGAGCAATAGTGATTTTACCACTGAACCAACTGCTCATTCATTTTTATGGAGCAAAAGTTTTGGATGGATTCAGATGTTTCTATCGATAAGCATAAAATACTCTTATTGAAACCGAAGATTTCTTTATTTTTATGGAGCAAAATTTTGGATGGGTTCAGTTGTTTCTATAGCTAATAATAATGAAATTGTCATATTTATCGGCACTCATTATGATTAGATTTGCATTTTCCTTGATTTGGTATATCCCCCGATCAATATTTTGCTAGAAATCTTGCAAATATGCAGATAAAATTTACCTCTTGATATTTTCGGTAAACCTAAAGATCAAAATCGAATTGTATTCGGCTTATATTTATCATTCCTAACTGCTGCAACTACTAAATAATGAACAAAAATGAATTGCCACCGTTACTCATGCAGCAATAATGAATTCCTAAGACCACATTGTACTGTATTGTCCAAAGTCCAAACAACAACATATGCAAAAGCTTTAAGGTCAATTAAAATCAAGAGCAATTTTAGTACTATTCTTGATTCTAGTTGTTTATATTGAGGTCAGCATTGTAACATATCCTGCTCAGTGGGCCAAGATAGTGCCATTATTATGTAGGTCCAAAATACAAATGTTTGGTGGGATCTTTAGTAAATGAAACTAAAAATGGGGGAAACATGACTGAAGAAATGTGAAATTAACATTGAAATCCAATTCATGGCAAAAGTGTACGTTAGGAGAGAAGCAGGATTTGATTGTTACAATTTTATTTTTTACAAATATTTGATGATCCGACTTTTAGAGTGAACCCAGTCACACACCATCATTGAGACTTCCTTTAATTAGCAACTCAAATTAAATAAGTGTGCACAATATGACAATATCAAGAAAGTTTTCTAGATACACTCTTTGTTGGTTATGTTGCAGAAAGTTCAAGATGGTGTGATTTTGAATCGTAAGTTATAACAAAACAATATCTTCTCACTAATAAACAAAAAAAAAAAAAAAGCTGCCAAATCTGATAGAAAGAAGATTCACAAAAGTGTATTGTTCATTTGACTCAAATCAAAGTTTTCCTCAAAGTTAAATGAATTTTCAGTGACTAAAATGCAAAATTTCATTAGTCGCTGTTTTTTTGTTTTTGTTTTTTTTTTTAAAAGTACTTCTCCATTAGAGTGGGTTGTGAATTTCTAAATTAAGAATTTCCATGCAAGACCAAAACTTGTAAACATGCTAAATTTTTAAGGAAAGAAGTATTCTTTTTGTCTAAAAAAAAGACCGTTCATCTATTTTAAAAAATAATAATTAAACAACATGAGTTATTTTTTAGAATGAAAAGAGTACCGAGTAATCTCATTCTCACCAATCATCACCCACCATTTCAAGCACTTTATGGAAGAAAATAAAATTGAAAGGGAAAAAAAAAAACTTTGGTAGAAACTAAAGAGGACCCAGAACAGAACATGTCGAATCTCGAATGAGACAACAGATTATTTTAGGAACACATTCTCCTATGAAACTTGAGTGTCATCGAAGAAAAGATGCAGAGGACTCTTTGGTTTTTTTTGACCCTGAAAGTAAAGCAAAGTCTTCCAACATACCCCATCTGCCTTCCCCCTCAGTCCCCTCTTCCTTAAACCAAGAATCAAACCCACAATCCACATTCCCTGGGGATCCCTAATCATATGATTTTGTCTGTTAGTTTTGTGTAAGCAGTCGCCAATACGTCGTAATGGAGGCGATAAATTTATTTAGTGAAATGATCAATCAATACGTATAATTAGAGAGAAATTCATTGTACCATTTATCTCTAAAACTCTATAACCATTTTTTTTATAAAAAAATAAGAATAACTTTGAGTACGATAGAAATCAGTCAACCATAATTTTTTTTTGATAAATAAAGATAAATTCATTAATTTGTTATAAATCGTCTAGCAGCGATTGATAAAAGTAAGATACAACCATAAAAACACAACTTTAAAACAGTCACAATGCCATTGTTGTATTTCGCTTCATGGATAAACCTATCCTGATCTACCCCATAAAATAACGGTTGTACCACGTGCTAGATTTTTAATCCGGTCAAGGATACAACACTAACCTTCGGTTGAAACCTCTAAATCGTAACCTAATAATAATTAAATCTATGAATCTTCTTGGATCATATCTGCCAAACCAACGAATACCTTTAATGAAGCCATTGTCGTCGTATCTGCATATATCACTGATGAAACTGCCGCCATACTAGCAAACATCAACAAGGATGGTGTCATCATACCTGCAAACATTGACAAAGATGTTACCGCCATACTGTAGATAATAATCTACAAGCCGTTTATTGAAACTAAATTAAAAACACAATAAAATGGGTAAAGGATATTTGTAGAATTATTTTCTCCATCCTTCCATAGCGGAAGATGGGGAAGATTTTTTATTTATTTATTTATTTATTAGGATTTGAGGCTATGGAAGGATGGAGAAGATTTTTTATTTATTTATTTATTTATTAGGATTTGAGGGAGAGGGAGAGAACCCTAATTGATACAGAAAAGACGGTACACTACGCCAAAATATACTATCAGAGGTGATCGAATTTGCATACTAGGTTATGTGCTACCGTATTCATTGTACCATTTATCTCTAGAGCCATATAATTAAGTTGAAATTATTTCATTAAATTCACGAATCATGATAAAGTATTTGAAATTATAACAAGCAAACGTTACATAAAAGTAAGCATAAAATCTCTTGCAGATTCTTAACTACATAAAATCAGAAAGAAAGCCAAGAGAGAACAAGGAATTACTTTTCTTGAATATAGGGATTTGTAAGCTGAGTGTTGAAAGATAAAATTTGAAGCAAACTCAAAACTCCAAAAACAAGAAACTAAAACAATAACAAATGCAATATTATATACATATAAAGAGCAACAAATTTTCAAAACGATTATAAATCCAAAGGAAGATGAGGCAAAAGCAAAAGCTCAACCAACACTTTCTCCTATTCCCATGGTCGAAATCTCCCCCTTTAACCCCATAAAATCCCCACCATATTTATTTTTTCCTTCACATTTCGATCAAGAATCTTTTATTTCTTTTATTTTGTTCCTTTTTCTTTTCCTCTATTTTATCAAAACTGTCACTCTCCCTATATACCCACTTGGGGATCTGATCAAATCATGAATCAATCCTCATTTCTTCTTTTTCAGTAGCTGTCCCTATTTACCTATGCTTTTTACCCTAAATACCACATGAAAATTCACACCAAATCCCAATGAAAATAATGAAAAGCATATGAAAATACTCCAAAAACAAAAAAAAAAAAAAAATTTATAGAAAAATGAAAAGCATATGAAAGTAAAGATTGTAATAATAAGTATACCATATCTTCAATCTCTTTGTTTAGGTCTGCTTTTAACCATTGTATCAAATGAAAATCCATCTCCAATACCAAAAAAAAGAAAACAAAATACCAATATACTCCAAACAATAAAAATAAAAACCTGGACTTTATCCAAAAAAATATATATATATATATATATATATATATATATTGAACTAACTAATGAAAAAAAAAAGAATTAGTAATACGGATATTAGATTATTATTTCAAACTCCTCCATTTAAATAAGGAACAAAAAATCCCAAAATTCCTAATTTACAGAATTAATTAAAGATTTTGTTTAGTAACTAACGAATCAATCCACTGGCGATAGCCCGATTGGTATCAAGATGAGTAGTTTCATAAACTGGGAGTTCTTCTCGAAATCTGCCTTTCCCAAACAATGCCAAATGATCAATCTCGAACAAATCCGAACTGCAGTCACTTGCCGCATCATCATCTTCATCATCAAAATCGAAATCTTCTTCCCATATTTCTTCTGCCTGAATCCCCAAATTCTTCTCATTCTTCTGTTCCTCAAATCCCTTGATGTTAAGGATTTCCTCGGACTCATTTTGTGATGACAATGTTGTTGGTGGCCGGACTAGTGGTGGTTTACCGGAATTATTATTATCACGAACATCATGAATTTGTTTATGGCCGCAAGGCCGACTGTCTTCATCAACAATAACACTAACCGGATAAAATCGAACCGTTCTTTTAATCCCATCATTATACCTTTTGGCCGCCCTTGAATTAGGTGAATCCTTGCTCAAACAAGATCTCGAAAACGATGAAGCTGTTGAACAAGCAGATGAAAATGTTGATGAAGGAGGAGGGCTGACAACATTATTTCCTCTGTAGTACTTGGTTGATTTCCTCTCCGGAATTGAAGGGACATTGATGGCATTGTTGTTGTTGCCGTGTTTCTTGGAATTGGTGAAGAGGTTGTTGATGAATGCGGTGAGCCGGCCGCCGGGGGAAATTGGATCTTTCACCTTCTTCAAATTGGAGTAAATCTTCAATGCTCTGGATTGAGACTTGATGAGATTCTGATCCTCTGTTTTTTTATGGTCGGATGACTTCGAAGATTCATTTTGCTGCTGCTTGGTTTTCACCGGTTTAGGCTTCTTCATTGTTGCGAAACAAGATTTGCTGGTCTTTACGGAGGCAGCATAGAATTCAGTGTCGGAAGATGAAGATAGCCCACCGGAATTACTGGACTCCGACGAACTCGAGGTTGAACTGAAAAACAGAGGATCATCGTCTTGATGAAGAAACAGAGTCGAAGGAGGAAGAGGAGGAGGATTGTAGTTATGGGTTTTTCGCGAAGAGACTTTGTGATGAACCTCTTTCTCCATCCATTTCTCGATCAAGGAAGCCTTTCTCAGGCTCGCCATATCCTCATCTTCTACCGCAGCGCCACCGCCAGCCGCCTTTGCCGCGGCCGCCTTCTTCCCATGTTTCTTCGAAGAAATAGTACTTCTCTCCGTGTAAACAAGCTTTAAATCCTGTTGCTTATGATGATAGTGATCTTGTAGAGTATCATTTCCATCGATTGAACGGTATATTTCATCAAGAAGAGTAGAAGAAAAAGATGGATTTTTGGGATGATTGTGCTGATGATGATTTTTTCTTGACTTTTCTTCCCTCGACAATGATGATTTGTGCTCCCAACTATACATCACTCCCAATATTTTCCCAAGTGTTTTTCCCCCAGACAAAGAAAAAAGAAGTATGACGAGATTCAGGTACAATGGAGCAATGCAATGTAAGAAGAAGGTTTTGGTTTATTTAGGATTTATGAGAATGAATCAGAGAAATGAGGGTGTTTTGTGGGGTGAGTTTGTGTTTTTATTTTTGGAAATGTGAAGAGATGAAGGAAGGAATGAATGAGGAGAAGAATTTAGGGAGAGGAATAGGATAGATGGGCTTTTTAAAGGGAGTGATAGATGTGGTTGTTTAGTTCCAACTTGGCATTTTATTATTTAATAAAAAATTGAGTTATGTCTTCTTCTTTTTTTTTCCTCATTCAACAACCATTGTAGAAAACAATTACTACTATGGTTACAATAACCAAACATTATTTTGGGACAAAAAATGTTTTGTGAAAAAAAAAAAAGAGAAGACTTTGAACAAAGGAGGTTCGTAGTCATAAATTGAAAAGGAAAAACAGAAAACAAGCTTTAAAAGTATTTCAATTTTCCTAGTGCCATTTCGCTACAGGGGAATGTGATTTTTTTTGTAATTGAACTTTTTGTTTATATATGGGTGCCGATTTAAATTTAGAAACTCTCAAGTCTCAACTATGATCTAATAAATCTTTCAAAAAATTTATATTTCCCGTACAAATATAAAAGACTAATTTTATTGAAACTAAATAGTACTTCCTCTGTCCCAAAATTATTGTCCAGTTTGAGATTTCACTTTTAGTACAATTTGAACTAAAAATGAAAACCCAAACTGGATAATAATAATGGGATGGAGGGAGTATATACATATATAACAAAAATATGATTATTTTGTATATTGAGATATAGAGGGGATATATTTAAGTCAGCAAATCAATCATTTGATAAAAAATGAATGATAATAAAACACACAAAAGAATCCAAAAGATTTAGGTAGGGATGAGTCTGTTATTTAGGAGGAACACATTGTGCATGCATTTAGCCCCTCAAAAAGCAAGCAAAAGAAATTAGAGACGGGAGATTCTGATTTGATGATTGGATTGGAAGGTAAGATAATGAAAATTTTAATTTTAATTTTTTAGCAGTTGTTGGCGATGATAAAAATGATTCAATGATTACGCTAGTTTTACCAACAACGGACTCGCATTTATTTTGCACCGGCGCAAGAGCCCTAAAAGTCAAAGAATTTGTACCATACACTGCTACGAGAAATTCCAATTTTTTTTTTATTTTTTTTCCCCACAGTATCTGTTTGATTTCATTATTTTATTTATTTCGGTTGAAAACTGCCCCCTTTTGTTTTGATTAGGAATGAGCTAGTAGCAATCTCTATCTAACAAAGCGAACAAGAACACGTTGACTTTCTTTTGGAAGGATACATATCTGTTTAACCGAGTGCGAGTATTATTAATGCACGTAGTTTTTCTGAGAAAAAAATATTCAAAAGAGTACCAAACATGGGTATTCATAGGAACCGTATACTTTTAGCCAATTTTGTTTTTACCATCATTCATCGCGTAATGAGAGAGCGCCTAATCATCATGAAGCTAACATCTTATATGTTTTTTTTTTTTTGGGGGGGGGGGGGTGTTTGGTAGGAGCCTAAATGAATTACTTTTTATGAATGGTAAATTTATCATTCAAGGAGCCTTTAAAACAGTAAAATCTCCACCCTTTTTGAGCAAAAATTTCGAATTCAAATAAGGAAACCATGTTCATGCAATTGGGTATGTATGATTGGATTCCTGTAATTGTTATTTCAAGAGATGGAAGGAGCCTCTAATTGCATTGACTTTTGAAATTACACAACAATTAATGATGATCAAGAAGAATGGAGAAAGGTAAAAAGAGAATAGGGAGTACGTTATACTGTGAACTCTCATCAAAAGAGGCCAAAAAACATTGAGAATAAAAGAGATGAAGATTATTAAGGTTAAAAAAAAAACGCTCCCTCACTTTGAAAATTCTTTACCACGATTTGGACAGATGGACAAGTTAAAAAATAAAAAATAAAAACACTTTATCAGTTCAAAATAATTTACAACAAACATGACAACTATTTGGAAAGAGGGAATAAAATTCGGTTATGCTTTGAATTTCTTTTTATTATTTGGGAAAGGATGTATAAAAACAAACGATGATATCTAAGTCCAATCAAGGTGGAAATCGTAAAAAACTGATTGTAATATCCAGAATGATTTTGGAGTCAAGCATGTAAGGAATAGATTGAGGAATGAAGGTCACGGTATCAACTCCATCAGGATTACTAATCTTCTAATCTCATCCTAATCTTTAGAGATGTAAATAAATCGGATTCTAGATTTTTATAGTGGACATTAATTTCATTATTATTAATAAATTTACATTAAAGAAAACATAATCTAATCAACTTCTGGATATATAGTTCAATCACAAATTACTAAAGATTAATATAAAAACATCATTTATAAAAAATCAACCTAACGTTTGAACTTAACATCATTTCGGGACAGATACAATATATTTTATTATCAAACCACGTACTTAATTATTATTTTTGATCTTAATTATAAAGCATAAATTTAAACTAACTTTCATATTCTACCTTATGATTACGACCGGAGGAAGTATCAATTTTCTCGTATAGATATGAGATATCAATCAGTTGACACATATTTTTCGCTCAGAAGTTGTATATAATACCTTCATTACAAATATTGGTTTTGCACAATTATGGACAAAACTAACATTTTAAGTTAATTGACATGTTAATGGTTCTTTTTTATCCTTAATAAAATGTATTGAGTTTGGAGAGAGCATATGAAAGAAAGTTAACCATAAGAGGAATAACAAACAATTGACCATAGGATTTAGGAATGAAGGTTGACATATGTAGAGAAGTGACTAATGTTTCGGAATACAAGCAGTACTCTTTTCCGAGTATTTTAGGAATCCATGGCCTAATGATTCTTCACAAAATCTTATATCCGACGGTGATTTAATATTGAATTGTTTTTCAACAAATATGACATTCTTTTGAGATTTAGGAAGTTTTTAAGAAGTGTTACAAAAAAGAAATCGGTATAATCTAATCGAAATTTATTTTCTTTTTCCAAGAAGAACTGTTTTGTCATAACAATGGAGGAAAGAGTCCATACATGAACAGTAAATTGTACCAACAACTTAAATATCAAATGTAGTTAATTTTCATAGGATAGTGCTACCTAGCTACATAACATGATGCTAATTTTTGCTTTTTTTATTTTTTTTTTGCACAAATTGAAAACTCATGCACTAAGCTCTCTTTTATTTAATAACAACTCCCAAAGTTTGCAAAGAAAGTGATGGATCTCACATTATTTACACCAAATGTTGGTCTAAGGTTGGACAGTGGACACTATTAAACCAAAAGAGGGCTATGAACATGTGAATTTTGTAACGTCTAAGACAGGCAATTACCTGGCAAAACCCATGCATATATGCCCCTTTAGCCCCCTAAATCAACGTACCCCATCTTTTTCAGTCCTCATTGTGTGACTGTGTGTGTGTGGACTTAATATTGTTGAATCCATTTATTTTTATTAATGTTCAACTTGATCCTTTCGGCCGTCTATGATGATTTAGGCCATTTTGTGGGTTGCTATTGCATGCTATATTTAGACCAAAAAACGACAACGGAAGTTGTTAATTTCAGCTTGGACTAGGTTTCAAGAATAATAATGTGACTTGTGTATATGTACATCAAGGCAATTGAGTTATTTGATAAGACTAGAGATTCAATAAATGATGGGACGAATGTGAATTTGAATTTGAACATGAAGGTCATATATATGCATGCAATTGAGTATTCAAAATAAAATTGTCACTCACGTGATCATCTTAATTTTGATAAAGACTTTGTTCGTTCTTCCCCTATATACCTTATTGCTGTACTAGATAGAATTTCTTCTCCAATCTTTTGGGCTCTTTTTGTTTGTGTTAGTTTGTCGTCCTAAATAATTAATTTCTCATACAACAAGCAATTTCCTTGTTCAGTTTTGGCTAAATTATTCATCATTTTGTCCTCAACCTCGTGGCTCAATTCGTTTTGGTTAATTTTTTTTGGGAACATATATACTCACTTTTTTTTTCTTCTGATTTTACTTATCGTTTTTAATTTACCATATATCTATTATCTTCGTCACATAATGACTATTAAGCTTCACTACGATCGGTTGACGTTCCTTTTTCATTATGCATGGTTTGAAATTTCTCAGCAACTTGTGCGTGAAGAATGGCAAATAGCAAGATCTTCTCCTTGATTTTGGAGGGTTCTGCCCATGCCTTCAGGCAACCAACATAAACGCACAACTGATAAAATTACATTAATGGTGATGGCCTGACGGGCATTGATTTCGTTCTACGAAGTGATGTTTAGTCAATGGCATTTGTCTTCTTACCATTAAGGTTGACCGTTTAGGTATAACTTCGATTGTCAAATCAAGTAATGTACATATGAAAATCCACAAACGATTTTTTATACTATAATATTTTCTATTACACTATACAAAATGTGTTACAAATCACCACAATGCAATCTAAACTGCTAATAACTTGTTAAAATGAAGAGAAACACACAAAACAAATGGCTGGTAGAGAATGAAATGAGAATATGATAGTGAAGAGCAAAAAAAAAAATCCTAATTCATTCTAACCGGTTAACTGATTAAGATATCACGAGTCTAATAAAATTTTAAATTTAAAAATAACATTAGAGTAAAATTAATGGAATATTCGCCTCTCCAATCCTTTTTAAGAAAATCTTATAATTGAAGAAAGATCAAATTAAAGAACAAGAATTTGTTAGGGGACGAGGAATGGATCCAATTGGATTCGTGATATGTATACTTTGGTCTAAAGTTCAAAGGTACGTAGGGAATGTTGGGACCAATGATTAGGATGTCGATGGAGTAGCATATTGTGGAGGGCCAATCAGCACGTGAACAACAGGTGCGAGTTTGAGCCTTCTCCCCTCTTGTCGTTTTTCTTCATCCTGGTTTTTAATTTGGATTTGTACCCCCAAAACTGTTTCTCATTTCCCAAATTTTAAACTGAGTTTAACACTTTAACTTGCCCATCCCACCAAATTTATTGACACTTTTAATGCTGGCCCCAACCCTTGTCGGCACTATTTTTGCTTTTGTTTGTTCATTTTATTTCGTCGTAGAAAAAATAAAACCCCCTAGTCCGCCGTCTATAGCATATATTTTACATGTAATAGAATGGTTCAATCTTGCATAATTAATCAATTATTATTATTCGTGATTATTATTTCTAAAGATAGACAATGCCTAAAAAATTACTGCTCGAAAATGATAACTACAAGTATCGACGCTAAAATTTATCTTCGATCTTGTCGTCTTAGTGCAAGCTATACACCTTTTAAACACAGTAAAATCTGTACAGATTAGTATACTTGGGCACCCAACATTTTATTAATTTATTAATAAATTAATAATTATTTATTTATCAAATTTTTTTAAATTTTATCAATAAAAATTACGAAAATTTATTATTTTTACAAGTAGAAAAGTTGGTTGCAACTTTATTAATATCATTATAATTTTTCTAATGTAACAAAAAGATCATAATGGTAAACATAAAAAAATAATTAAGTTAAAATAATTTAATCTTCAAATATACTTTTTTATTTTAGGTATATTATTAATTAATTTATAAAATTCTGAGACCTACATTTAGGATTCTTAGAAAATTATTATCTTATTAATTAATCAAATTTTTTTTTAAATTTTTTGTATTGGTCTTGAGTCGAGACTAGAAAATATTATCTTTTTTAAAAATGTTATTAATTTATAAATGATTAATTTATAGATGTTCTACTGTAACTAAAAATTCCTACATAATCTATATGTTAATTTCTCCATTTTTTACTGTTTGTAATTAAAAAAATAAACATAAACGACATTACCCAAGTTACACTTTGTAGTCATAACCGAACCAATTTTGCATTCAGTACTTTCCCTTATACTATTTCTGAAGAGGCACGGCCTAAAAAATGATAGCTCAAAAAAGATAACTAAAAATATTTATATTTTACAAATAACTCAAAAACTGTACATATTTTATTGAGATTACGATATCTTATCTTGACCAATGTGTATAAGTCCATGAGCTAACAACTTTTGATGTCATCAACTTAATTTCGTAAGTTTCTCGTGCCCAGTTGGGCACCATATTTTGTCAACGTTTCTTTCTGGTATACGGATGAATCTAGCATTAGAGAGGATTTATATCATCTCAGAGTCGTAGGGATGTTTTGTAATCTCAAGCTTAATTCTTCCTTTTTGTGTACCGAAGAGATAGTTTCTCCCTCAAATATCATTACTGAAGAGATAGTTTCTCAACAATAACAACTCAAAAACATTACAAATCAGTTCATTTTTCGATAACTGAAAAGTAATACATATTTTATCTTGACCAATTAAGATAACTATAGATAATATCTAAGACAATGAAGAATTCAGACGTTTTGGTTGGGAAATGTTTGGCAAAATGTTTTCTGTGCCCATTGTCTTTCCATTAATTTATGAACGTCCTCCATCATATGTACACAAATAATAATAATACAAATAATAAAATTTAAAAAGTACAGAATCAAAGAAAAGCGAAATCGACCATTGTGTATGTTCATAGACAAGGAAATTTATTTGCCAATGTACTTAGATTCATATGCTAGCCAGTAGCTAATACTTTCCCTAACATTGTTTCTGAAGAGAGAGTTAACAATTGGAAAAAGATAAATAAGAAACAGTACATTTGATAGTCATTACAATATCAATATCTGAACCGTGATATGGAGTATTTTATTTCTTGAAAGAGATATATCTTATTTATTAATGATTTCAGACGTAAAAACAAAAGGTAAAAGAAAAGAAAAGAAAATGTACATAACGAAGTCATTAATTGGATTTTTATTTTATTTTATTTTTTGTTTTGAAAACTAATTCTAATTGGAATTCGATTCACTTTCTTCCTTCCCAAAATATACACACAAACACTCCAAATCACAAAAGCTTCCTTGTTCCTCACCCTAAACCAAGAACAACACAAAAACAAACCAGGCAAGCTGTAAAGAAACAAGTGCATGCGTGAGCCAAAGTATCAAAATATATATATATATATATATATTTAAAAGAAAATATAAGATTCAAAGTAACAATAGATCGACACAGTGCAGAAGAAGAAGAAGATTGTTCGGGGATCCCGAGGAAACAAAGATCAGATTGATCAGCAGGAGGGCTCACTGTCTTTTAAGGGATCTCTCTCTCTCTCTCTCTCTCTTTTTTCTTTCTCTTTCTTTCTTTAGCTTTGAAAATGTTTGATCATCACCTCTTTGCATGGAAGAAGTTGGAACAGTGTCACTTTTGTCGACAAAAGCCGCAATTGGTTTCAGGGATCGCATCTTCTTTATGTGATTTATTCTCTTCTCCCTAAAAATATTTTCATTTCTATCTTACTATAAATTAAATAAATATATAGTCTGACAGCGAATTGTTGTGTTCTTTTGTCTGTAGCAATGTATTTGTTTCACGTGCAGTACCACTGCAAACTCATATCTTCTAAACTACAACAATTTTACTTTTTGGTTCTTTCTTGTTTCCACAACACGGGGTCTCTCTTACTTGTGAAGACAATATGATATGATTCATTTCTTCTTTGCTTTTCAGTTTTAACTCTAATGATTTGTCGATCTATTTGCTTTTTGGTTATATGTTGAATTCTGAGGTGATTTAGTGAAGGAAATCAATGAATTACATGAAATACGCAAAATTAATTCGGAGTATAAGAACACAGGTATTAGTAGACGAAAATCTTCTTCTTTAGTTTATCAAAAGAAGTGAAAAGAATTGTTGATTAATAGATCGCGACGAGCAAGAGTTGTTTCGAGGGTTTTTAATTGTGTGTATGTGGCACTACAAATGGGATTATTTTACATTTGTAAGCCACAGTTTTACACTTTTTGCTAAACTTGATCGTTTGTGTAGGAACATTTGAAATGATGTTTTTAGATTAGGTCGATTTGATTTGATTTAGTAATTAATGTTAAAGGGTTTATATTCATTATTAGTATAAACACGCTATTTGTATATCAACATAATAGATATACATTTAATTCTCCCATCTTTCTCTAATTTTTAACACTTCTAATACAAAAGCCAAACACGAAAATCAAAACCAAATTAAAACCCTATTTGTATACTGCCCTAATTAATGTGTTTGCATCCTCCTGAATCTTATTGAATTTGGGGAAAATCTTAACTTAAATATGTTCCATCGGTCCCCAAAACAAAATTTAAGTTCATTGTTCATCGCTATTGTTAGACTTTCTAAGCCATTCCTTCACACTACATATCAAGCCAGTTATTGTGCAAAAAAAAAAAAAAAAAGGAAATCAAGGATATTTGTCACCTTTTAGGAAACCAACCAAAACATTGGGATACGCCCTCTAAATTAAACAGAGATTATAGACTTATGGTAGTAATGGTTCACACAATAAATCTCCAGATTTTCCTGGCTATATAAGTGACGTTCACAAGGCTTCACACCTTTGAATTAGATCTGTCAAATTTAGATATCTGTGAAACATTTAACTTTACAATCGCCCGCATCGTACAAGATTGTATTTCGAAGGTTACGACACCCGAAAAAGAGGCAAAAAAAATAAAAATAAAATAAAAGTGAAGCTAGAGAGCACTGCCAAAAAATTAAAATAAATTGAAGAACCCAAAAACCCAAAAACCCAAAACAATGAAGAACAAGAAGAAGATAATGGGCAAGTTGAGAGCTAAGAAGATTTGGGTCAACCTTGCCGTTTGAGTGCGTATTTAACCCATCTCGGACGGAACCTGCAGCTTCCAGGCTTATTTACATCTTTGGGCGAGGAGCCGATTAGGTTGGGCCTAACATATTTTAACCATATTGGATCTCATCACATCTTAATATTTTAGAAAGTTATCTCATTCATCGAAATGTCAATAATTAAGTGAACCAATAAATTATTGTTCTTAACGGTGTATACTTTGCAAATATGAAAACGAAAGGAAAAAAAAGAGAATCTCATCTACTGTTTTCCTGGTTTAATTGAATGAATAAAACGACATATGATTCAAAATCAAAAGGAAAAGAAATTGTTATTATTGTTGTTGTTGTTATACTTGTTTCATTCTTTAGGGTAAGATTCTGTTATGATACTTCTATTATTATAAATTTTAGTTTATTAATTTTTCTGTCCCTAAAAAATTGTTTAATTCGGAAAAAAATTATTCAAAAATTGAAAATCTAAACTGGAAAATTATTTTGAAAGTACTATCTAAAAACAAAAAGGAAATTACTCATTTATCGAACCAAGAATTTTACGGCAAAGAAAACGTACTCTATAATAATTCTGAAATCTAAATCCAATTTGACTTAGGATTGAATTCCATGGAAGAGTTTTTGGAAGGCGGTGATTGTGGAAATCCGAATTCTACCAACACGAGGAATTTCGCAAATCCTTATAAATAATCCCCTCCCAATCAGAAAGCTTTGTCAATCAAAAACTTGTTTGAATCAGATAATCAACCATGTCGACGAGTGCTGATAGTCATGATTCACGCAAGAAAAAGATGATCGTGTTAAATAGTTCCGACGGGGAGAGTTTCGAGGTGGAAGAAGCCGTGGCGGTGGAATCGCAGACCATAAAGCACATGATCGAGGACGGTTGCGCCGCGGCCACCGACGGCATCCCGCTTCCCAACGTGAGCGGAACCGTGCTGGCGAAGATCCTCGAGTATTGCAACGGCCGCTTCAACATATCATCGTCATCGGAACCACCACATGAAGAAAAACTGAAAAAAGCCCTCAAATCGTTCGACTCGGAATTCGTGAAGGGAATGGGCCATAAGACTCTTTTGGAGCTCGCAGAGGCGGCCAACTATCTGGACCTACAGAGCCTTTTGGGCCTCACTTCAGTGACTCTAGCGGACATGATTAAAGACGCGAAGGTGGAGAAAGTTCGTGAGATTTTCGGTGTGTTTGAATGATTACACCCCGGAGGAAGAGAGGGAGGTCCGCAGGGAGTATGAATGGGCTTTTCACTAGCTTTTCTTTTCTTTTTTTTTTTTTTGACTAGTTATTAGTATTATATTGATTACTAGTTACATTTGTTCTATTTACCTGTCGCATCAGAATATGTACGGGAATTAAAAAATAATAATGATTAAAATTTTAATTTACATATATCTAGTACATGTTCTTATAAATTGAAAATATAAAAAAGATAAAAGATTGACTAGTCATAAATAAACACTAACCCTAATGAGTTCGGGCCGGCTACTTTGGAGGCTAATTCACTACCTAAACCTATTACGACTAGGTTTAAGAAAACAGGTGCCACCTCTTTAGAGGTGGTGCCTCTCCTACAATACACATCTTCTACCTATCTTATACACTTTCTACACACGATACACATCCCTCTCTCTATTCTCTTTATTTCTTTATTGACTTAAGCATCGGATAGTCTACCCTCAAGAGACACCCTCCGTTATTGACTTAAGCATTGGAGACACCCGACCACCTATAATACATATCTTCTACCTATCTTCTACACTTTCTACACACGATACACATCCCTCTCTCTCTATTCTCTTTATTCTTTTATTGACTTAAGCATCGGATAGTCTACCCTCAGGAGACACCCTCCTTTATTGACTTAAGCATCAGAGACACCCGAGGCTCTGTCTTGCAGGTTTTAGGCCGTCCGCCGCCGCCTAGATCATCGTCGCCGCTTGTTCTAAGGCATCATGCAGATCCATGCTTCGTCAAGTGGCACGCCCAGTGGGACCGATTTGTTTGGTCTTCACAATCAAATAAATTTCTTGAAACAAAGCTAAAATTTATTGGTGCTTTACGATGATCATCGGGTTAATATGATCTGCAAAGCTATGTACGGGAAAGCCAAAATAAAGAATTTGAAAATTCCCATACTGACAACCGTCGACTTCCGCGTCGACTTCCTTCGATCGACGATCTGATCGACAACAGTTCTGTCAACGTTTTTGTCGAGTTGCTCTAGCCGACGAAGACGCTATCGACTTCCATGCTAACCTAAACAAACCGACGAACATGCTGACAAGGGATAAGCTCTTAAGTCCTTCGAAGCAAGGGGCAACTTAGAGGATTGAAGTTTTGAGAGATACATCTCCTCGAAGGGGCAACTATCCCTCGAGCACTATACTACTACTCAAAGTGTTCGAGAAAATGTATCTCGACTTCTATCTACTCAACTATTACCTTCTCGGGATCGAGGTAACACTTTCTCAAATAATCAATTTATTACGAGATCGAGATACTTCTAAAACCTTTTTATGCTTCAATATCTGTGATCATCATATTACATATCACGATATTTTTTTGAACACGATCAAAGGAGTTCTTCAAGTTACCAACTCTCTCGCGGTAAAATCCTATCACCCTTCAACGAGAAAAACGTACTCGGGGCCACAAACAGGGACATACCCTAGGGGCAAGAAATTTGAGGGATCATCCTAACATCCTTTGCTTTAACTGATATTCCTTACGAACATCTTCTTACTATATGTCATCATTATTGTTATTATTGCAATATCTTTGTCAAGTTAAATGACAGGATACATAATCTCGAGCTATTCACCATGTTCTTTAAGAAGACCACCATCTATCGATCATTGTCCTTCCGAGAACCTTCTTCTGCGATCATTGTCTTCTCGAGAACCCTTCTCCAGCGACTACTCATCCATTCGAGGACCATCCTCTCACGGACCATTGTCTTTCACAGAGACCGTCTTTTCATAGACCATTGTCCTCCTGAAGACCGTCCTTTGGAAAGACCTTCTATTGTCAACCATTGTCCTTCCGAGGACCATTCCTTGTCGACCTTTGTCTTTCCAAGGACCTCGTCATCGTCGACCCTTGTCCCCTCGAGGACCTTCTTCTGTCGACCATCACCCTTTTGATTCATCTTACAGGAACATCATGTTCGAGAACTAGGGCAACATTACAGAAATCGAGAAGCCGTCAACACTCCAGCCTCGTACTTATAGCAACCCATATTATTCTCATCAACTCTAGAGAATGTGGCTTGCTAGGGGCACTTGACGAGTCATAAATAAACCCTAACCCTAATGGGTTTGGGCCGGATACCTTCAAGGCTAAGTCATTGCCTAAACCTATTACGACTAGGTTTAAAGAAACAGGTAACACCAGCTCTATATAAAGAGGTGGTGCCTCTCCCATAATACACATTTTCTACCTATTTTCTACACCTTTTACACACGATACATATCCCTCTCTCTGTTCTCTTTATTCCTTTATTGACTTAAGCATCGAAGAGTCTACCCTCAGGAGACACCCGAGATTCTATCTTGCAGGTTTTACACGTCCGCCGCCAACTAGAATATCATCGCCGCCTGTTCTAAGGCACCGTGCAGATCCATGCTTCGTCAAAGATAAAGTAAAATTATATATAGACACTACTGGTCTAGACTATTATAAAACTAAAAGAGATAATGATTGAAAAAAATGTAGTAATATTACATTGAGAATGAACTTGTTATACCTGCCAAAATTGAAGTTGGTTGCAGTTTTAAAAAAGGGGGTTTTACCACGGTGCGGGAGTTGCATCATTTAGGAGGTGCCTTTTTCAATAATTTCTATGGGTTTGGGAATGATAAAAATTGAGATTCATTCCAAACAAAAATTGAGCAAGGTATGAAAACTCCAATTCTGTTGCTTGGTTAGTGCTATACAAACATGGGAATGGATATCAAATTCCATTCATATCCCCTCCCTTGATAGCTCTATCTATCTCTGCGATAATCCTCGATATTATTAGACAAAAATCATTCCCCTAATTACTTCCATCATTGAGGAAAAGAAAAAGGAAAATCTATGAGTTCATCATTCTTGAGAGTAGGGTCTCAATTTTGGTGGTATCAACATGAAAAAGGGATCAAAAGTAGCACAAATAGTTAATTTGGTGGAGAAGAGATTAATAATAAGGTCTCAATTATTTTGAAGAAGAAAAAATTAATGAGGGTGGCGGCGGCGGCACGGAGGAAAAGAGCAGAGGGGGCTGAAGATGGAAGTAGAATCGGTGGAGAATGGAGAGAAGCAGGAGAGATAAGGTAGAAGAAAATGGGAGAACACGGGTGAAGGGGGAAAAAAATAAAATAAAAGTCAAAAGGAGGGCAAAATGAGAAAAGATGAGCATAACCTCCAATTTGGTTGGGAATGATAGATGAGCTATTATTGGGATTGAATCCATGCATGTGGGCCCAAATCTGATGAACTAAGCACTTTCAAAAAGGTGTGAAACCCATAGAAAGAAATCATACCCTCCTATTCCCCCCAACCAAGCACCCCCTTAATAATTCCATTCACATGTGGGTCAGGTTGTACGGGTTTGCAGATAATCTGTTTATAATTCTTTGTCATTTAAATAAATATCTAGTAGATTGTTCTAGATAGATAATTGAAAAAGTCAAAAGAATTGTGTGAGTTTTACTTTATTGTTTTAGCTTCACCAGAGTTAGCTCCGTTTTGCAATTTTCGGCAGATCCGTTGCCATTCTGTTACCAGGTTTAGCTCCATTACAGTCAAATAAAGATCATTTTCATTTAAGGCGTAACAGAACTACAACAGATTAAAAGCCAAAACAGTTTCGATCTAACGTAATTGATAATGTTAATATTAGCATGATATTTGTGATGGTTTATATATTGTTTTTAATATTATCTATGCTAATATTAGTACTTTGGTTCTTAATTTGATCATAGGAAGGATTTGGAACAAAAAGAAGAAAAGTGTTGATTTTGAAGAGATTTTGAAGGTTTTATTGAATCAAGTTTCAAGTTGGAGAAGAAGTGGTTGATTCCCGCGTGGGCACACAAAATCCATGCCAAAATCAATGAAGGAAGTAGGAAATTCCAGCAACAATGTTGTATTCCCGCGTGGGCACGCTGTAATAGGGACTAAATTGCAAAATTTTTAAATTTTTTGAGTCAATTTGTAATTTTTACAAACTTTAGGGGCCAATTTACAAATTCTGAAAATTTTAATTGGTTGCTGCGATTTTTGAACGGGCTGAACGTGGGGATGCCCTAAATTTGCATATAAATAGTCTTTTTCTTATTATTTTGAGGGAGTTAGATTATAGGAGGCATAGGAAGGCTCTGAGCCTCTAGTTTCATATTTTTTCTCTCTGTTTTCTCTAGGACTAGCTCTGTAAGTTTAAATTATGTACTTTTTTAATATTAATTTTTTCAAGATTAGTAGCTAAAGCTCTTTTCTAGTTGAAAGATTTTATTGAAGCCTTGATGTTATTCAATTGTGAGATCCAACTGTTTGTTTTTCACCAACGAATTTTGAGTATTTATTTATTCTCTTTGATGTGTATTGATGATTATTTGGCATTATTTGAATAGCTGTTAGCATTCAATTCTCCTAGATAATCTAATTTATTGAACAACAAGGTTTGTTTGTTCCTTAGAAGAGACAATGCAAATAATTACTTGGTAAGTAGTTTACTTGTGTTGTGAGAATAAATAATCAATTTTTAATGAAACAAGGTTTGTTTGTTAGAAATTGAGTTGGGTCTTTGTTTGTTGAAAACTGAATCCTAAGAGGTTCCAGGTTGTGTTTTTGGCTATAGAGTGGTTAATGAAGGTTTCTTAATTGCTGGTAATTAATAAAAAAGATTGAGTTGTTAGGAGGTTCCAACAACGATAACTAATACATTCATGATTTGTTGAGTTAATCTTTGCACCAATGATCAGTTGGATATATCAAGGTGGAAATTATTCCTTTGACTAGAGTTGCTCTTATTATTGATTTTCCAAAAGTATCTTTTATTGCTTGCAAATTACTTTTGTTATTCATTAGTTACAAATCCAAAATCTCTCCCATTTAGTTACTTTGCTTTTGATTAGAAATATTTTCACTTCCTTGCTCCCTGAGGAGACGACTCTACTCATTGCTATACTACTAAATTTGTTAGGAGTAGAATCTTTTATTTTTGTTGGTTTGACATCCACCAATAATACGATAGATAACA